ATTTAGACTTAATGGGAAATAATATTTATAGAAAAATTAATATTTAATAAAAAAAATTGTGCCAACGGGTTGAATTTAATATATTAAATAATTATATTTATCAGTTGATTTAACGCTCGAGAGGGCATGTAGACTTCGATACATTTCTTTGGGAATCAATTCCTATGATTTAATAATTATTTTTTCCTACTCTTTAGATGGACATTTCAGAGACATAACATAGCAATTGATCAAATTTCTTCAATATGAATAAAGTTCTACTTTGGTAGATGAAAATAATTTAGCGCAACTTTTTGTTGTATGTTTTCTTGACCTTTCGTGTTTGTGTCTTAAATTGGTACAGAATAGATTTAAATACTTTACGTAGTGACAGGACCAACAAATTGAACAATAAGACTAAATCAAATAATGACATGCTTTTGACATGCAACAATGAACAAGAGCGAGTACAACATTTTTTCAAGTAGTAATCCGGCGGGTAATTAGAACAGAAACATTGAATAGTTTCGCCTTACCATTATTAAAAGCTTATCAATATATTCAGTAATGATTCTATTAAAATATTACTTAATATATGTAACTTTTAATAGAAACGAGAAACCTCAACAAAATCAATTATTCGAAGGAATGGATATCGCTAAGAGGATTACTCCACGTACTGTCCATAGACGATTTCTAAGCAGCCACAAGTCCACCAGTTGCATTTAAAAAAAAAATAAAAGTAGATAAGTTAAGTAGTTGATCTCGTCAAAACAGCTGGTTTAAAATTTCATGTTTATATAAAACTTACTAATCAACCTTCAAGGGTGCTTCTGAAAGCCATGTTTGAAGTATATTTTCTTGTCCGTACCTAATAAATAATAAGACAAGATAAAGTTATTTGATTTTGTTTGTTTTACGATGAATGATTCATAAATTGTAAACCAAGAATAAGTGAATAATCATATAATAAAATTACAATTATAAAATTACTGTAATGAATATATATAAAACAAAAAAAAAATAAAAAAAATATAAAAATAATGATGATCTTCATTATGTACTGTACTGTACAATAATTTATTTTCCCACGGAACGTATCACTTGTTGACTAGGACAACGACAATACTCATAAGAAGTTATAATTATTCAATTTCAAAATTTTAAAAATTTTTAAATTTTGTTATTCACGTGATAACCGTACCGTTATCAGAAATTTATGTAAACGAAGAGTTCTTTTTGTAAGGGTTATGTAAAGTATTGTATGAATGTTAATTTTTTCAGGTGATTTAAAATTACTTAAATATCTTTAATTCTAAAAATTTTTTTCAAGTGCTAACAAATCGCCTTATACAGTATTTATGTATTTCCAAATACTGTAATTATAATTCGTTACAGTACTAATCGTATCGATTAGCAGACTTTGTAATGAAGCGGCCAATGACAGTTACCTCTCTTAAAACGGCCGAACTTTCTGTATCAATTATGACCCTAATTGAATGGTTGAAATTAGATTTGGCATTCATTAATAATATCTCATAATGGTTCATAATAAAATTTCAACTTCTATTGATTATTTCCTTCTTATGTCATTGTCTTTCTCAAGAGAACTTTCTTGTTTTCTTGTTTAATAAAACAAAAGTACGTTATATATCTTCTGTTATTACGTGAAAATTTTACTTTTGGTAACAAAAGTTTATCTACACACGCCATGAACCGATTACTTCATATAAACTCAAAACCCCAGATATAACCCTATGACTGGATTCAAGTTATGAAATCGGTATTTGCTTGAATAAATAAAAATATTAATAGTTTTATAAAAATACTATAACTAGGGTTCTTTCATAAACGGTTAACTTTGTCATTTTAAAAAATATATAATTTCTTACGCTCACACACTCAAGGAAAAAAAAGGTGTTTATGATTGTAAACCACATTGAATAATTTTTTTTTTTTTTTTTGACGCTTTCTAAAAAGCCGAAAACTTACGTGTTGAGTGTCAGATACAGAAATGAAGAAAGGTAAATGTTGTCTCCCCTTCATTTTAATCAAAACGGCATCAATTCTCTCGGAATTTTTTCTGTACATCCGATATTTCGTCTTTCATAGAACAATATTTGTGCAAATTAACACGTACAAAGAAGTTTCTTTTTGCTTTTTCCAAATTGAGAATGGTTAACAGTGATATTTTAAGGCATGATCTTCAATTATAATCAAAAACTATTTTTGGTAATCTGAAAGAGCTTTACAAAATTGATTTGTATAAATAACGCATGTCTTCGACTTTTCAATACTACAATAGTAAAAAAAAAAAAAAAAAGAAAAAAATACTTTGTTGGAAAACTTATTATTAATTGGAGATAAGTTCCATCGTAGAACCAAATTTTCGATATTTCCAAAACCTTGAAGATGAAACTAAAATAATCATTAAATATGCAGAGAGTCCTATTGACTTGGCTTAAACGTGTCGAAGATGATATGATATTGCCAAAGATCCTTATACCAAAACGGAGTGGTAAATAGCACATTTTGGAAAAGCTCATGCAATTTTCCATGCGGTTAGGTTAGGACCCACTTTTTTAGATAGCCATTTGACAAAATATGTTTGCGTGAAAATTTATAATAATATCAAGATATTATATTCAAAGATTGCTGATGCATTGTAGGAGAAATGATCAAAAATTAAAAGTCGAAAAATAGCGTCTGACAATTGGACGCTGACAGAATTCGTGCATTAAAGAACTTTTAAGCCTCCATGGGATGGGCTAGCAATTTACTTATATCCGTATTTACGTATATATTAGAAGAAGGGTTTAAAAAATTAGCAAAAGAAACAACCTAAAAAAGGGAATGACATGGAATTGTTCAAATTTCTTTCTGCAGGTCATTACGTGATAACTTAAAGCCCCTAGAATGTTGAGAAAAAATATCGAAACATTGATTTTAGTGCACCGATTTACCTTTTCCCCGTCTAGACCAAAAGTACAATTAAACATAAATTGATGTTTATTAAGGTATCTTAGTTACGAAATCCAATTTTAACAACCATAAATGGTTAGCTTTAACTTTTGCCAAATATACTAAATTCATTAACCAAAATTTAAACAAATAATTTTTCGTCCATATAATATGTAATAAGTACGTACTTAGAAATTAAAATCTCATGTACCATTATTTTCAATAATAAAAAATTTACCCCGGAATAATTGAAATTTAATATGCAGATATGTGACATGGAAATGCTTAATTTTTTGGTCAAGATAATTTTCTGATTAGATTATAATTTGCGATCAAATAAAAATAATTTAACCAATCAAAATAATAATTATTAAGAAATATATTAAAATGTAAATGAATCTGCAATAATAAACAGTTCGATTTGAAAATAGACAGACTATATTATGTTTTATAATTATTCCCGGGAAGGCAATGTGACAATACACGGATTCGATTTTCCGTTATTTTTTTTTGATTGAATATAAAATAAAATTTCTATTAGCAATAAAAAAAAAGATTTTTTGTTTATATTTAAACCACGTGAAACATTACATATTAAACAACCATAAATGAGAAATTTTAATTTCTAAATTTTCGAAATTAAGTTTTTACCGCAGTATAATAATTAGAGGATAATAATATCTGTTATTAGTCCGGAGCAAAGCGAAGGACTTTCTTATACTAGCCACATGTTACACGAGGTGTCTCATTGTCCGCCCGCTCAAAATTTGAGTCGATACCGGACTTAACAATGGTTTCCGAAACCGTTCCCTAGTCTTATTAAATTTTAGTATACCTTTACGACATGAGTCTTCTTTGAATACTTTATAATAAGAAATTTTGTTTTTTAACATAAATTTCTAGTAAACTGTACGAATAGCAAATAACTTTTTCTTTAAGAAGGCGGCGATTTTGAAAGTACATTAAAATCTTCATAAATGCACACAATAGATATATATAAAATCATTACAGATACTTGAGATTGACTAGTGTGTAGGTTTATATATTGAGAATGCATTTATCGAGAGCTCATAAAAGAAACTGGTAACACAAAGTTTTATCTCAAGTATAAATTACACACGCATGTATTATTAATCTCAAATTTCATAAACCGATTATTCCAACCTCTAAGATTACCTTATGATTGGATTCTGGGTTATTAACATAAGATTTTTAAAATGGTTATTTACTTGAAGTAATATTAACTAATAATAATATTAATAAGAACATTTCAAATAATAATAATATAAACAGGTTAACGTTGTCACTTTAAAACAAGATATAATTTCTTACGCTCACACTCTCAAGGAAACAAAGGTATTTATGATTGTATATCACGTTGTACATAATTATTTTATTTTATACTTTTTTCTTTTTTGACGCTTTCTAAAAAACCAAAAAACTGTATCTTTTTGAATGCCAAAAAAAGAGATGAAAAAAAGTAAAAGTTTCCTAAATTCTTTATTTTAATCAAAATTGGAAATGTCTTAAAAGTTTTGTGTAGTCAATGAAGATTATTGAAGTGCTAAATTACATAATTCTCTCGGTATCTGTTTTTGTTTGATCCTATTTCATCTTTCATAGAACAAGATTTGTGCAAAGTAACACGTACTTAGATAATAACTTGAAGATTTTTTTTTTTTTACTTTAAGTATTCTTTATTATTTATCCAAATTGAGAATGTTTGAAAGTATTCATTTATTTGTACAAATTTTACTCCGAAGGGACTGAGTCATATATGTATCGCATCAAAACCGTGATCTTTTTAGGCATGATCTTCAATTGTAAATCAAATACTATATATGGAAATCTGAACAAAGCGCTTATAAATAAACCATGTATTCGACTGTTCAAAGTATATATCGCTTCAGATAATAATTCAATAAAAAAAAAAATATAAAAATTTATTACCAAAAACTTAAATTATTAATAGGAATGAGTTCTTAAAACAAAATTTTCGTTATTTCAAAAACCTTAAAGATGAAATTAAACTCATCATTTTTAAATATACTGAGAGTCCCATGAACTTGGCTTTAATATGTCGAAGATGGGCGGATATTGCCAAAGATCCTTATGCCGAAACAGAGTGGTTAATGCACACTTGGAAAAGTTCATGCAATGTTCCATGCGGTTAGGTTAGGACCCACTTTTATTGACGTAGCAGTTGCAAAAATTTGTTTGCGAGAAATGTTAATACATTTTGGTAGATGCGATCAAAAATTAATAGAATTAAAAATTGAACATAACATCGGACAATTGGATGCCGACAGAATTCGCACTTTTCAAAACAATAAATCCTCCATGGGCTAGCAATTTACCTATTTTATGTTTACATATTTATTGGAAGAAGGATTTAAAATTTAGCAAATGAAATGCCTTTAAAAGGGAATGATATGGAATTATTCCACTTTCTTTCCGCAGGACCTCAAGTGATAAATTATGCGCCTGGTATGTTGAGAAAGAATTTAAAAAATATCTTGACATTGATTTTAGTGCATCAATTTACCCCATTCCCGCCTAGACCAAAATTACAATTAGACAATCCTCACATCCATCAACAACCCACTCCAGAAGAATACCCCCCAAAGGATGGTTATGAAAATGATAGACAACTTAATGTGATTGCTAGAGCAATCCTTATTCACCCTGATCTAATTTATGGAAAGAATCAGATATGATGATATATACAAGGATGTCAATGGTGCAAGGAGTCTTCTCATTCTGTTTCCACCAACTCCTGCATCGGATTGGAATTGTCCCACCGTATCTATAGTAATTTCACGCCTAAATGAGCTTATTAACTTGGCTTTCAATTTAAGTATATCGTTATTATCAACGATCGAGCACCGTTTGGATGAAATTGGAGATATCTTTGGGATGAATTTGCAATCCTTTCGAAAGAACCAATGGAATCTCTTGCTTTCCTGAAAGAAACTTAAAGAAGGATGAACTTATAAATTTCTCAAATCAAAATTTGATTATTATGAAAGAATCGTAAAGGAAATTGTTAAAGATTATTTTATCAAAGAAAAAATGTCCGTTATTACGTTAAGAAGAAAATCGCTAGTATTATCAGAAGGTTTATCAACCACCTATGGTAATAATCTGAGTTGGCTTTAATGTCTTTGAAGACATTCTTACTTTAAGAATATATATTGATACTGAGCACGAGTCAGAATTATCATGTACATATAATTCAATTATTTCGATTTTGATTTATATCAAAGCAAAACGTGCAATATGTCCCAGCGCAATTAGATTTATTAAAACAAACAACAAGTTTGGAAATCATTCGACCTTTTTTTGATAACTTAATACTGTCTTTGGACTTAAAAAAAAGCACAGTAGGAAGAGGAAAAAATTGGATGATTTAGAATTGTCTTGGGTAAAAAAACTTGAACTCATCAATTCTCAGAATTACAGAGGATTATCTGCTCCCTTTGAGAATTTTTTCATAAATTTTATAAAAGATTGGTAGATGAGGAAATTATTAAAAGTATCGTCAGCATACAAAACAGAAACAAAACAATATTTAAATTCCTTGACTTTAAATTTATATATACAGCCACTTTGCTGACAAGTAAAATCACTTTGATGACAAATTATAATCAATTTCCTTTTTAAAAACTTCTGTAAATAATACAAAAAGAACTATCTTTAATTTAAATATAATTCTGATTTATATTTCGATTTTTTTTTTTTTATATTATATTATTATAGGGACCGTTCTAATCCGTAGCATAATAACGATAATTACGGGGATAAATTTCGATAAAGATTTAATTTGCAGGCAGGGCACAAACGTTTAACACAAAGTATATTCGACGGACAGAACGATATTGTAAATAATCCTTCACTATGCTTCGGACAATAAAGACTTAAAAAATCATCCTCCCGCGCCCAATATTATTCACTATCACGTTTCATAAACATTGTTTCAAAATCATTTTCACAATATCTAATTCAAGTTGTAATTATTAAATTATTTCTTTATCAAAGGAATTATAACGCAAGTGTGATTAACGGTATTTTTAATAAACAGTTTGATTTTATAGATTTATTAATTATAGTTTCGACGCATCGTCGAAACCTAAGGGTTTTAACCTAATGAAAAAAATTTTTTTTAGCGGAATAATTAATTTAAACGCGAGTCCACTGTTTACTTAATATTTATTACAATGATATTCTATAAAAATGCATGTTCATTTAATTCCTACTATATGTTTAGCCCGAAGCGTTCTTTTGTTTTAAAAAAAAAAAATACCTGTGAATTAATTGAAATATATTTTCTACTAACGACGAATTTGAATTAACATTCCTCGCAATTCTTATTTTTGTCACTCAATTGATGAATCAGTATTTTTTTTAGCATAAATTTCTTATCTCTATGCAAAAATGACAAAGACATGCCATACATAGATTCACTCGATTTAATAACATTGTATTTCGATTGTTTCCATAATTTTAAGGTTACCTTCGGTTAATAACGGAACAGATTACGACAAGATGAAAAATGTTTGTTTAATTAATAAAAAAAATTTTTTTTTTATTTGACGTTAATAAATCTTTTTGCAAAAATTACTGTTGTTATATAGGTATCAATTTATCCATATCTAGTTACCTCAAATTCAGGGTAGAATAATATAAATACGCACGGGTTTTACTTCCTTCACTAAACAAAAAGACAAAAGACACTATTTACAACCATTTCTAATAATATTATATACTAAATGTTTCGAAGACAAAGACAAAAATTTGTAAATAGAATTAATAGAATAACATGTCGAAGAAATCCCCAAAGACACGTTCAAGTTATTAATAACCAAGACACATTGAATAGAATTGCAATCCTTCCTCTACAAACTATAGATGATAATCCTATGTTGAGTCAATTTTTTAACGGGTTTTCTTTTCCTTAATTTCCTTTTGATAATTATATTAAAGAAATTAAAGATGTATTTGTAGGTAAAATTTTATGTTATAAAAATTCAATTCATTTTATTAATGATAATTCAATATTTTATAGACAGACCTACAGTATTTCGCTTTGCTCGAATATTTTTTTTATTATTAATTATCCTTAAAACAAAATTAGATAATATGTCATATTTAAGTTACTCTTATTTATTAAATACTCTTTTCAGTATTGATTCTAGTCTGTATTACAAGTTGTATTTGACCTAATGTTTGATTAATTAACTATCTTTTATTATGTATAAAAGCAATTTTGCTATTTGTTTATATTTTAATTGACTCAGTCATAATAAAGATTGGCCAGTATTGCATCTTATTTTCTTTATTATCGATACTGCCTTCTTTGTCTTCTTTCGTTATTTCTAGTTGCATATATAATACATAGTCTGCCTAAGAAGTCCATAAATAATTAAAGCACGCTATCGGTTTAATAACCAAAGCATAATACACGGTAATATTCAAACACGTTACCCGGAAATCAGTTAACGTGTAATATCTTCTCATAAATTTTCTTTCATAATCAAAAAAAAACATTTGAATAGTGTATGTAGTTTTTTAGTATTGCATTACAACTATTTTATTTGTCCTTAAATCGAAATTTTATTCTTTTTGATTCGATCATCTCAAAAATTAACCGATAATTTTTATTATTTTCTTTTTTATCCTTTTTTATATATATAACATGAGATCTTTGACCGTATTGCTGTTGCTCCTCGTCCGATCTTGTTTAAATATTCTCTTTTAACTTCGTAAAGTTCGATTGGATTGTGTCAAATTATACTTCACCCATATAATATGATATTTAAATAAAGAACCTTTTAAATTAATAAAATGGATAAAATGATAAAAGAATACTGATTAGTAATTTATATCTGTAAATAAGAAATGCCCGTGGTTTCAACATGCCAATAAGCTTTCTTTAAAAACCATCATCGAAAATCTATTTTCATTTTTACATTTTTGGAGGAATATCTGCACATGAACGATTCATCACCTTGTTATTAAAGAAATATGGCACTACTATATCATAAATAATTTCTAATTTATTAATTTTATCAATAAAAATAATTTGATTGGATCAACAAGTCAGGGGTACCGGAATAAAAATAAACAAGTTGCGCACAACAAGGTTCAATAGTAAAAGCAAAAATATTTTTGTGATTAAATAATCTTTAATGTTTTTCCGTTTATGGATAAATTATACCTTTAGAAATACTTTCTTAAAAAAATTTTTTTCAAAAATCATTTGATAATTTGGCGGTAATTTTTCAGCGTAAATATTCAATCTAAAAAAAAAAAAAAAAAAAACAAACCAGATTATCAAACAATGTTAAATGACTTTTGGATTGTTTATTTTATTTTATTTTTTTTTGAGATCAACATTTGCATTGTGGAGAATTAAAATCATATGCATATCTTAAAACAATTAATAATATTAGAAAAGAATGAGAAACTGAACAGAATCATGTAAAATGTATGTCAATTTAAATATACAATTAATATATTTTCAAAAATTAATCTACTAAGTATTTCTGTCTATTAATATGGTCATGACCCATCATTGACCGGTTGACCGACCGACTTTATTTAAATTCATTCATTTATATATTTAAAAGTGCACGATAATGCTGCGCCACTTAATATAATGATAAAGAATAAGTAAATCAAAGCTTAAAAAAATAATTATTTTGTATAAGGTTTCTAAATAAAGACTTTATAATAAATCAAAAAACTGTTAAATTTATTACTATTTACCGGTCGGTGATCAATTAAAATCAGTCGGTTACAGCTAATTCAAAAGTTGCGGGACATGATTAGAAATTTCTCGGCGCCAACCAAATTACAGTATTAGCGCCAAAATCTCCACGAATATATATTTTTTTTTTCTATAAGGACTGTATGTATTTTAAAACTTCTATAGGTGGACAAATGAGACAAATTGGACGAATTTACTAATTTACCCCCAAGTTCTGATTGGCTGTTATAATTGATAATGCTTATTTATAACATCCCATTGCGTGACAAATAAGCATCACCCACCGAAAAAATTCTGTCCCTCAAAAATTTAATAAAAATTGAAACATCACCAGTGTCACGCCTGTGACAAACCACCTAACTCCTAACCCTAACCATAACTAATATCAATTATACCAGCCAATCGGAGTTTGGGGTAAATTAGTAAATGCATACTGCACAGACCAAATAATTTATAATCAGTAGATTAATCAATTAATTACACAACACAATTTGGTTATTTTATATGATTCTTGTTGTACTATCTTATATTTTAGTCAAGTTCGAAATCTATAACGAAAGGAAGCAATTTTATTTTTACACGCACATGTTCTTTTTTTAAAAAAAAAAATTAAATAATAAATACAATCTAATTCCAGTAATATTTTATTTTGGGTGATACAAAAAATAATAAAAACGAAAAATTATAATAAGGAATTAGATTAAAGAACAAAATATCCTAAAAGTCTATTGTAATAACCGGAGATTGCTTTTATGGTTTCATTTGATAATTTTGAACAAATAGATTATAACAAAGAAATATAGCAAAAAGAACGTTAATTTTTTTTACTGTTTGTTTGGATATGCATGTTGATAGGAAATATTTTGATATGTTAAATCTCTGAACGTATTATATTTATGATATTGTTTGATAAGAACAAAGGTGTATTTTCAATGAAGCGGTTATTGCTTGCATCTTCTTTCAAAGCATTCCGGTAAAGGATTCTTTTAAAGATGTCGCTTATTTTTATTTTTATCATGCTTAAATATTTCCGTGATTGATGGATGGTCCCTTAACCTTAAATTAGAATATTATTTATTAAATATTGTTTATATATATAATGTGAAAATTTTTTTAATTTATAAAGTTAATATATATCATTAAATTAATTAATATAAAATATTAAATTGCTGCATCAAACATAATCTTAATCTTCCAC